TACAAAATTGAAGAAGATCTTGAATAATTTAATATATTCAAAGAAAAAAAGAAGTAAGAAAGAAAGAGTAGAATTGAACCTTGAAAGCTCTGTAGACAAGACCTTTATGATATAACTGTGAGAACACCCACCAGACAGTCTCCATGAACTTAAAGTCCATGGTTTTATATCCATCTTTAAATGATCCAAAGGAACGGCCGCTCCTGATCACCACAGACTCCCACTGATCGACGCAATTAGTGACCAGAGCTCTGCACTCTTTGTTGTATGATTCGATACCCATGTCCACAACATCCTTCCTCGTCACGATATTTAACTTCTTACGAATCTCATTCTCCACAGGGACGCCGTGGCAATCGAACCCCAAAAGGATGTTTACATGGTTTCCATTCATACGCCTATAACGGCACACAATGTCCTTAATAGTCCCAGCTAGTATGTGGCCATAATGCGGCGAACCAGTAGCGAACGGAGGGCCGTCGTAAAATACAAATTCCGGTTTCCCTTCTGTGCGTTGCTGCACCTTATGGAAAGCTTGAATCTTTTCCCACCAAGCAAGGATTTTTTCCTCCTCTGCAGGAAAACAATAGCGATTCGACTCACTAACTTCCTCCATTCTGGTTTTGGGGTGAGATCAAGGAAGGTGAAATACTTGGGAGCAGGGTGAAAGTAAGCTGAATCAAATTTGAGGGTTTTGTGATGTGAAGGACGGATTTGAGTTTTTTAGCGAAGAGGGAGAGTGAATTTGGATACTAACACTTTGTTTGGAAGAGGTAAAATATGGTATGATATGGTAGGTGGAGTGGAGTATGGTATGGTTTATAAAATATGTTGTTATGTTTGGAATGAGGGTATGATAAAGTCATGGTCATACAAAAGAAATGTGAATATACTAAAATATCTTTTAATTTATAAAAGAACAAAAATGAGATATAAAGGAATTTTAAAAAATTGACTAGGATTTTTGGAATAAAAAATTATGTACCATGAAAACACTCCAAATTGAAGTGTCGATAAAATCAAATAAAACAACTCATGGATTACCATGCACTCAAGTCATACCTGAAAATAAACAATCTTCAACTCATGCCCATACCATACCATACTTTATTAACACCTCGTCCAAACCAAGTGTAAAATTTTACGATTTTACAATTTTTTCCTCCTTCCTTCCTTATAATTACTCCTTTCCATTCCCTCTTTTTTTATTTTTATTGGGAATTAACTTAGATATTTAAGGGCATGTTTAATTTTAGAAAATGTTTTCTGTTTTCATTTTCCAATTTTCTTTTTATTTTTCTGATTTTCTAGTTTTCTATTTTCCAAGTGGAAGGGGGAGAGAGAGAGGGAGAGAAGAGAGGAGATCAAAGATGGAATATGACATAAGTAGCTCCTTGTTTTCCAAAACGAAAAATATATAAAAAATGTTTTCCATATTTAATGTAAATTGGAAAACGGTTTTCAATTTCCTATTTAGAAAATGTTCCTAACTAAACACTAATTTCTATTTTCGATTTTTCTCAGAAAATTTTTCCGGAAAACAACCCTATTTTTTGAAACTAAACAGGGCCTAAGGCTCTTGGCCATTTTATGGTAGGAGAGAGGAACGGTCGGTTCGATTACTGAACCGAAATAAATTGTCGGATATCCTAATCAAATTAAGTTTGAAAATAAAACCAAACCAAACCAAATAATGTAAAAAACCAAATTTAACCGAACCAAAATTTTTTTGTTCGGTTCGGTTAATGACCGAATTTACCAAAATAACCGAAATAGATATAAAAAAATTAAACATAAATTTTTTTTAAATTTTTTTTACATTCACCGACCAAAATTACAAAATAAAAGTCATTAAATTAAGATTTTAAAGTGTTAACATATTAAATAACAAAAAATTAATATTCCAGAAGCATTTGCTAGAATACTTATACAACAAAAAAATAAAAAAATTGTCAGCTTACATCCCAAAATTATTTGGAAATTAGATGATCAAATCAGAACATAAACAACAATAAAAAAGTTGCCATGGGGTAGAGTATGTTTATCATATATATTATATATTACAATTCTATAGTTCAATCACCTTATATATATATATATATAGTTTGGTTCGGGTTTACCAAAATTTTTATTAGTAAAATCGAACCAATAACCGAAACTAAATTAATCCTAAAATCTTAACCAAACCGAACTAAAATATTTCGGTTACCGAACCAACTTTTTTTCGGTTTGTTTCGGATTTGGTATTCGGTTTTTCAGAATAATGCTCTCCCCTATTTTATGGGAATAGCTGTGAGGCCTACCGCTGAACTGGACCCTTATAGCTATGTTCTTTTGTACTGAACTAAACTGAACTGAATCTATTTTTTTATAATAATTATTATAAATATAATAAAAATTATAAAATACTATAAAATTAATAATTATATACAATAATGTCTATATTATCAGATTTATAACTTTAATAATAATTTTATTATGTTTTATTAATTAAAAATAATAAATTAAAAACAGAGCTGAACTGAACTGAACTAAACTAAAGCTGAAATTAAGTCCAAAAGAACAGAGCCTATGGCTTTCCCTTCTATTCCCTCCTTAAAAAAAAAGCAAATTATTTTAGAAAAGGGTATTCTTGTAAAAAAAATTAGTCACTTTAAGAATTTAACCTTATGATTTTTAACCACAAAACAAGCAATGTTATTTATTTTCCTTCTATATACCATACTCCACTTCACTTTCTTATAATTACTCCTTTCCATTCCGTCCTTAAAAAATAAATTATTTTAGAAAAGGGAATTTTTGTATAAGAAAGACTTAAATAGCTCCTAAAATTAAAGATTAGTTTAGAAAAAAAATTTAAATGGAATATAAAATTAAGGATTATTTTAAGGAAAAGTTTAAATAGCACATAAAATAAATTATTAGTTTAGGTAAAATAATTAAATCAATGTCTATCTTTAGTCTATCTCTTATTTCTTTCCTTCTTACCTTTGATTTGTTTCCTGTATAGATTAAAAAATCCATTTAACTATCACTTATTTCGTCTTTTTTCAATTGGTTCATTTACTAGTCTATCGATTCGACTATGTTTTGCATTTTAAAAATATTGAGTTGGGATCCTCTACAGTTTGTCCTGTTGACAAGATGGACCGCCAGCTGTCCGATCAAAATGGACGGCCAAAATGAGTTTGATCTTGGCTGTCCATTTTGATCGGACGGTCCACAGTCGGTCCTGTCAACGGGACGGACTGCGGAGGATCCGCACTAAAAAATATTACTAGTGGTCATTGATTTTTTTTTTAAATTTTTTGTTGTGCGCCTCATGTCTCAGGTGCGCGCCTTGCCTTGCACCTCAGATTTAGGCACGCTTGACCCCCTAGTGCTACATTGTTCTTTGCGCATGTAACAAATATGGGCTATAAGTAAAGTGTAAAAATTATAAATTATGCAATTTTCTTAATACATATATAATTCATTTTAGGAATGATTATAAAATAATGATTATTCCTAGAAATTATTTTTCCATATCATATAATACCTAAAATGATTAGAAATCTTATTAAAAAATATGTAAAATTTTGTCAGTGTGTCCTAGCTATTAGGCATTGATTTTATACGTTGTTGTAGTTTTGTGTAAATATGCCTTTTTTCATGTTACATTATAAAATCAATAATCTATTTATTTATTTTATGTTATGAAACAAACAGAGTATTTATTGATTATTATCTACTTGAACTTGCTCATGGTAAAATATTAGTTTATAAGACCAAAAGCAATGAAAAATCATAATCGTAAATAGTATCTTACGGTTGTCTGGATCATGGGATTGAATAGAATCACAAACCTCTATATTCACTAACTGTATGGTAGTGTTCTATTATGCATAATACATGAAATATCAATCAGGAATATAGTACATATTCACCAATATGGTAATAGATAGATTCAAATGAGAGCACCACATGGTTTCGTCGTCACAAGTATCTCTCGAGTAGGTCTCGTTATATGCTTTGACTTGATTTTAATATAGCATAGCATGAAATCTCGCACATTTTGACTTCATATTATCAAATGCCTCGTGGGATGAATTGTGTAATAACCCATGATTTTATTAATAATATTTATACATAATAATTCATGTGGCATGTGAACATTAAAAACTTATTTAATTTGATTAACATGCAAGTAAATATACATATGTCCAATGGTTAAGACGTTTATCCTTTCTCGCTTAGTCATAGGTTCGAGTCTCCTAAACCACATTTTTATTCTATTTTCCCCAACTTGGCTGAATTTTGTTTTAAATTTGATGTAGGATTTTTATTTTATTTCCATAGAAGAAAACTTGCCATACCTAAAATTACCATATTGTATAAGTTTAACATGGTAAGGTTTCCTTTTTTACCTCATTTCCTTAACCGAATTTGGTCACTTACCTTACAACCATTCCTTACCATTTTAACTAATAATTTTCTCTCTCCCATCATCATTTTATTCGAACTAATGCCTCCCTCCCCTCCTCTCATTCTTCTTTCAAAGAAAACTAAGAAAAAAACCAAGTGTTTGTGTGTGTTAGGTTCTTGGGTGTGGTGATTTTCGGCCACATCTCCTTACGTTGCATCTTGCTGGTTTGAACAGCCCTTCCATTCCCTCTTGCTGTCCGTTTTCTTCCCCATTCTAGACTGAAATTACGTGCTCTCCATAAGGTATCAATCTATCTTCACTTTAAGTTTCGATTTGTTAATCCTAGAATTAAGGTGGAGTTGTTTCTTGATTCTTTTTTTTTTTAGGTTGGCGTTTAGCTTGTTGTGAGAGATTTCTTTCCAGCCTTACACTCTCATTTTGCTCCTCTCAAGATCTTGGTTTCTTGGTGATTTCGTTGCGCTAGGACTTAGCATCCAAGGTAACACACGTTACCATACTCTTTACTTAAAGTTTGATATGAATGCTTGATTGGAATGTTGGATTTTGTGTTCGGTGAATTTGCATGATTGTGTGGTATTGATTCATGGATTGAGATTATATGTTTTATGACTGCATGAATGTGTATTTACATGATTTTGGGGGCTGATCTATGTTGGTTATATGGTTTGATGAAGAAAAGTAAAAATTAGGGTTGCATGTAAATTTTCGGATTTGGGGCTGCATGAACAGTTGTATTCAAAATTTTTTTAAAAATAATCTGGTTATCCAAAAATTTTGAAACCAATTTTCTTGGATTCTTAACTTATTTGGCTTTAAGTTTTATTAGAGTATTTAGTGAAATTTTGCCGTTTGACCCCTTGAAAAATTCGTCAAAGTATAAACATCTGCACTGTTGGTTTTTGAAACTTAGCTTGACACTGTTTTGGTATTTCCATCTTTTCTCATTCAATATACAAGCTTTTTATAAAATTCCTGTTCCTCAATTATGTTAACTCATTATGGCACAACTTTCATTTTTGGTGTTTGGCCAGAAAACATTGTTTCCATTTGCGTTTTTGAAGTTGAAAGTTGGACAGAAACCTGTCCAGTGTGTTTTCGGAGTTTTGAACATCTTTGATTGTTTCGTGTGTATCTTTCGATTCCGAACTCCGAATTTCATGAAATCTATTCCGTTTTAACCGTAACACATTAAACTTTAATTCTGGATATTTTTTGTAATTTTTGGACCACTGGAACTAATTTATTTTGAATTTTGAAAGTGACCCTAGAATCTGTCCATAATTTATTTACATGAGTTTTAAATTTTTATGGTGAATATGTTATAAAAATTGCATTATTATTACTAAAATTACATTTTAATATGTTTTAATACGTTTTTTTACTGATCATATGGATTTTAGCATGACAAGTGTTTTTTTTACGAATTTTGAGATTTCGTACGAGTAACGAGGTATGTTTTGCGTTGAAAACTTATGTTTGAAAATTTGTTTGCAAAATGTGATTTGGATTTGAGTATGGTTTTAGGGGTAAGACCATAGTGGCTCCCAAAATGTGATTTGATAAATTTGAGATTTATTTTGGGATAAGTCCCTAGTGGCACCCTTATACTAGATTTTATTTTTATTTTGGCTAAGTGTTGTGTGTTGTTCTGGATATTGTTGGACTGCGGTTTTTCCGACAATTGGACAGCAGCCCCTCACAATAGGCATTGGACTGCGGTTTTTCTTTTGTAATTGTGAGTGTGGAGCCCTTATTATGTGTTTGTTCTCATTAGGCAGGGGACTGCGGTTTTTCCTCTGTAAATGAGTTCATTTATTTGTCGTTCCCATTAGGTGAGTGGACTGCGGTTTTTCCCTCGTAAATGGGAGAGTTGGCCAATCTTAGACATTTGTGATATTGATTTTTTTGGGTAAGACAATAGTGGCACCATGGGCCGAGGGGACTGCGGTTTTTCCCCTAGCGTCTGTTCCAGCGCAATATATTGACATGAAGCTTTGATATTATGGTTTTATTTTGGTTTAAGTTAAAATTTCGAAATTTAATTATTTTATATGTGTTTAACTTTCTTTTAATATTTCATGAATTTTAAGTTATTATTTTAAAATTTAAATTGTCTTTATTTAAATGATTTATTCTTGCATTACTCTTTTATTTATTCATGCGTTTTTCCAAAGTTTTAAATTACTTCATTTTCATGTGGATTTTCGGATTCATGATTTAATATTTAAACCATGTATGACATATTTAATTTTAAGTTTGGAGCATGGATATGTGTGTTACTTGTCACTCAGTGGCAATTTTTTTCAGATGTTGCTGAGCATATGTGAGATGGTGATGATGTTTGGGCTACCGTATGGGGATCAAGAGAGAGAATTATCATTCTGCTGTAGTAGTTTTATTAGACTTGATGGATATTTATTTTTACTTTGAGGATTAAATTTTGAACATAATATTATCTATTTAAGTTTTAATAATAATAATAAATTAAGACTTAAGGATTTATGATTTATGTTAGTTAGTAATGACTTAGTTAATATAATTATTCCGCAATTATATGAGTATAAAATACTAGGTTGTTACAGTTGGTATCAGAGCGGGTCGGTTCCGAAGCTTACCCATGTGAGTCACTTGGAACCGAAACGTAATTCGGTTAGAGCCTTAAAATTTAGAGTGAGGTGCTGGGTAGGTATAATGGGATTCCGATCGATTTGATATATGTGAAATTACTTGTTGACATTTCTTGCTATTTGTTACTTAACCTAATTGTTGCCTCAGAATGCCTCCGAGACGTGCTCCAGCTACCGCACCGACTGCTGAGGAATTGGCACAACGTCGAATTCAAGCTCTCGAGGATGCTATGATTGCAATGGCTAATAGACAGGCGCCTCTGTCGTCGCCTCCGGCAAATAATCAGCCTACCTTCGACCGGTTTGTTAGGCACCGTCCACCGACCTACCATGGTACTCCTGATCTCGTGGTACTTGAAAACTGGATCAGAGAAATAGAGAAATTGTTCGATGCTACCGGCTGTCCTGAAGCCGAGAAGGTTGCTATCGCCACTTACTATCTGAAAGCTGAAGCCGACAACTGGTGGTCAGTCACTAAGGTTGAATGCCGAGCTATTTTAGAATTTGGCTGGGATCAGTTTGTGAACAAGCTGAAGGACCGCTTCTATCCGACACAGCTGAGATGGCAGAAGCGGGAGGAATTTGTGAAGCTGACACAGGGGAGCATGTCTGTTCAGCAGTACACAGACAAGTTTGTAGAGCTGTCCCGATTTGCTGCTTCTTTGATACCGGATGAAGCAGAGAGACTGAATCTGTATGTTCAGAGGATGGACCCCAGAGTCCATATGCATGTAGTGAGCTCCGGTGCAACCACATTTCAACGAGCTTATGAGGTAGCTTTGAGCATTTATGCTTCTGTCCAAGAGATGGACACTGCCCGCCGAGTTCAGATGGCAAAGAGGCCCCAGCCTGCTACTTTTGCTCGTCCTCCTTTCAAGAAGTTCAAGGCTAACCCTGTGAAGAAGGGTATTACTGTTGCTACTACCACCACCACCGGACAGAGGAAATGTTATCGGTGTCAAAAGGATTGGCACCTAGGGAAGAATTGCGACGGAACCACTGTCAGATGCAATCACTGCAATGAGGAAGGGCATCGTGCATTTTCTTACCCCAGGAACCCAGCTGCAGCTCAGACCAGACCCACAGGTGGTGCTGCTCCAGTGAGGAATCGGGTTTACAACATGTTAAAGACAGATGTGGATGAGGATGATGCTAGCGCTGATGTCATCACAGGTACCTTATTTAATTCTGTTACCCATGAATGCATCTTACCTAATTGTATGCTATAAATCCTTTCGGCATTGCTTCAGGTACCGTAATTGTTAATTCTGTGCCTGGTGTTATTTGACACTGGTGCCTCGATTTCTTGTGTGTCACCCGCCTTTGCTAAGAAGGCTAATTTGAATTCTACCGTGACTGTGAAATCCGTGATTTCCCTTCCCAATGGAGAGAATGTTTCTTGCTGTCGTGCCTTTCGGGATGTTCTAGTGATCTTAGAAGGGATTGAATTGACTTCTCAGCTGAAGGAGTTCCCGATGAATGAGTTTGATGTGATCTTCGGCATTGACTGGTTGAAGAAGCACCAGGCTGTGTTTTATTGCCGTGATGAGAAAGTAGTTCTGAGAGATCGGAAAGGAAGAAGGGTGTCCTACTCTAATCTTAAGTTAAGGCCAGGAGTGAAACTTGTCTCAGCCTTGAAGATGAAGAAGATGCAGCGAAGGGGTGATCAAGTCTTTCTTTGTAGGGTAAGGGATACCACCAAAGAAGTGAAGCTAGAAGACATTCCTGTTGTTCGGGATTATCCAGATGTCTTTCCTGATGAGTTGCCGGGTATTCTGCCCGAGCGTGATGTGGAGTTTACCATTGATCTAGTTCTGGGAACTACCCTTATCTCTAAAGCTCCTTACAGAATGGCTCCATCTGAAATGCAAGAGCTTAAGTCCCAGCTGCAGAAACTTATTGACAAAGGTTTCATCAGACCTAGTATTTTGCCATGGGGTGCTCCGGTTCTATTTGTAAAGAAGAAGGATGGGAGTATGCGACTTTGTATTGATTATCGGGAGCTAAAAAAAGTCACAATCAAGAACAAATACCCTCTACCCAGGATTGAGGATCTGTTTGATCAGCTGAAGGGTGCAGGAATCTTTTCCAAGATTGACCTCAGGTCTGGGTATCATCAGATTTCAGTGAACAAGGAAGACTGACCCAAGACTGCATTCAGAACCAGATATGGACATTATGAGTTTGAGGTGATGCCTTTCGGTCTTACTAATGCACCTGCAGTGTTTATGGACCAGATAAATAGAACTTTCCATGATCTTTTGGATACTTGTGTCATGGTTTTCATAGACGACATCCTGGTCTATTTAAAGAGTGAAGAAGAGCATGTTGAACATCTGAGATTGGTGTTGGATATTCTGAGACGGCAGAAGTGGTTTGCTAAGTTCTCGAAGTGCGAGTTCTGGCTTAAGGAGGTTGCTTTCCTAGGCCAAGTCATTAATAAAGAAGGTGTGAAAGTTGATCATTCGAAGATCAAGGCTATTATTAAATGGAAGAGTCCTTCCAATGTGACGGAGGTTCGTAGCTTTTTGGGCTTGGCTGGATATTATTGCTGCTTTGTGCAAAATTTCTCTCTGATTGCACAGCTCTTGGCTAGACTGATGAAGAAGGAGTCCAGATTTTTATGGTCAGACGATTGTGAGAAGGCCTTTCAGTTGCTTAAGGAGAAGTTGACTTCTGCCCCTGTGCTAACATTGCCAACGGAAGGGGTAGAATATGAAGTGTACAGTGATGCCTCGAAGAACGGTTTGGGTTGTGTTTTGATGCAGCAAGGAAGAGTGATAGCTTATGCATCCCGCCAGTTGAAGACTCATGAGAAGAATTACCCTACGCACGACCTGGAGTTAGTAGCAGTTGTCCTTGCACTTAAGATCTGGAGGCACTACTTGTATGGTGTTCCGTGTAAAATCTTCACGGATCACAAGAGTTTGAAGTACATCTTCACCCAAAAGGAGCTGAACATGCGGCAGAGGAGATGGTTAGAGCTGATTAAGGACTATGATTTGTCCTTGGAGTATAAAGAAGGGAAGGCAAATAAAGTTGCTGATGCTCTTAGTCGAAAGAGCAGTCATTGTCTGAATTTCATAAGGGTCCTTCCTGATGACATCTGTGAAGAGTTTAACCGTCTTGAGATGTAGATTGTTCCTAGAGGAGGAGTTTCATCTTATGTGAATGCTATGAGCATTGAGCCAGTGTTGTATGCTGAGATAAGAGAAAAGCAGAGAGTTGACCCTATTCTTCAGAAGATTCGAGCTGCTAAGGCTCAGGGTAGAGCTGAGAGTTTTGAGATCCATGCGGATGGTAGTATGAAGTTTGAAGGGCGCTGGTGTGTGCCTAATGATTCTGAGCTTAAGAGACAGATTTTGACTGAGGCATATAATACGCCTTATTCCGTGCATCCTAAAGGATCGAAACTGTACAAGGATTTGAAAAAGCACTTCTGGTGGCCGGGTATGAAGAAGGAAATTGCAGAGTTTGTGGCGAGGTGTCTAACATGTCAGAAGGTTAAGATTGAGCACCAGAGACCTGGTGGTTTGTTACAGCCACTTCCTATTCCTGCTTGGAAGTTTGACTCAATCTCGATGGATTTCATTATGGGACTTCCGAGAGCTACTGGTGGATTTGATTCGGTTTGGGTGATTGTCAACAGATTGACTAAGGTTGCGAGATTTATACCCATGAGGAAGACCTGGTCAATGGAACAACTAGTTAAAGCATATACCCAAGAGATCATTAGACTGTATGGAGTACCTAAAGAGATTGTTACGGACAGAGATCCGAGGTTCTTATCACATTTCTGGACCTCACTTCAGGAAGCTTTTGGGACGAAGCTGAAGCTCAGTACTGCCTTTCATGCTGCGACCGACGGACAGACAGAAAGAACCATTCAGACTTTAGAGGACATGCTCTGTGCCTATGCCCTAGAATTTTAAAAGACTTGGATTCGATCTTTAAGCTTGGTGGAGTTCTCTTATAATAACAGACACTATTTCAGTATTCAGATGGCTCCTTATGAGGCACTATATGGGAGGAAGTGTCGAAGCCCGACCTATTGGAGCGATATCAGTGATGCACTGATTCTAGGACCTGAGCTGATCCAAGAGACTGTTGATAAGGTAAGAGTAATTTAGATGAAGATGCAAGCTGCACAGGATAGACAGAAGTCTTATACTGACCTCAGGCGAAGACCTTTGACTTTTGATGTTGGTGACAAGGTATTACTTAAGGTATCACCTATGAAGGGGGTCTACCGTTTTGGTAGGAAGGGCAAGTTGAGCCCTAAGTATGTTGGACCATATGAGATTCTGGAGCGAGTAGGAGAGGTTGCCTATTGTCTAGCCTTGCCACCCGAGCTAGCGAAGGTGCATGATGTCTTCCATGTTTCTCAGCTTCGACGGTACGTCAGTGATCTCTCTCATATCATCGCCGTTGATTCCATAGAAGTAAAGCCCAATTTGACTTTTGAGAAAAAGCCCATCAAGATTCTCGATCGTCAGGTGCGCATTCTACGAAGAAAGGAAATACCCCTGGTCAAGGTTATGTGGCGCAACCAGAAGTTTGAAGGGAGACTAAGAAGTCTATGCGCGAGAAGTACCCCGACTTGTTTGTAGATTAGGGAACTTGATGTGTATGGATGATTTTCTTGATATGAATAAATTGACATTTGTTTGCCTTTTCAGTGTTTCGTGTTTTCTTGGTCCTCAAGTTTCGAGGACGAAACTTTTTCTTAGTGGGGAAGGTTGTAATACCCCATGATTTTATTAATAAATATTTATACATAATAATTCATGTGGCATGTGAACATTAAAAACTTATTTAATTTGATTAACATGCAAGTAAATACACATATAGTCCAATGGTTAAGACGTTTATCCTTTCTCGCTTAGTCATAGGTTCGAGTCTCCTAAACCACAATTTTATTCTATATTTCCCCAACTTGGCCGAATTTTGTTTTAAATTTGATGTAGGATTTTTATTTTATTTCCATAGAAGAAAACTTGCCATACCTAGAATTACCATATTGTATAAGTTTAACATGGTAAGGTTTCCTTTTTTTGGTCACTTACCTTACAACCATTCCTTACCATTTTAGCTAATAATTTTCTCTCTCCCATCACCATTTTATTCGAACTAATGCCTCCCTCCCCTCCTCTCATTCTTCTTTCAAAGAAAACTAAGAAAAAAACCAAGTGTTTGTGTGTGTTAGGTTCTTGGGTGTGGTGATTTTCGGCCACATCTCCTTACGTTGCATCTTGTTGGTTTGAACAGCCCTTCCATTCCCTCTTGCTGTCCGTTTTCTTCCCCATTCTAGACTGAAATTTCGTGCTCTCCATAAGGTATCAATCTATCTTCACTTTGAGTTTCGGTTTGTTAATCCTAGAATTAAGGTGGAGTTGTTTCTTGATTCTTTTTTTTTAGGTTGGCGTTTAGCTTGTTGTGAGAGATTTCTTTCCAGCCTTACACTCTCATTTTGCTCCTCTCAAGATCTTGGTTTCTTGGTGATTTCGTTGCGCTAGGACTTAGCATCCAAGGTAACACACGTTACCATACTCTTTACTTAAAGTTTGGTATGAATGCTTGGTTGGAATGTTGGATTTTATGCTCGGTGAATTTGCATGATTTTGTGGTATTGATTCATGGACTGAAATTATATGTTTTATGACTGCATGAATGTGTATTTACATGATTTTGGGGGCTTATCTATGTTGGTTATATGGTTTGATGAAGAAAAGTAAAAATTAGGGTTGCATGTAAATTTTCGGATTTGGGGCTGCATGGACAGTTGTCTTCAAAATTCGTTTAAAAATAATCTGGTTATCCAAAAATTTTGAAACCAATTTTCCTGGATTCTTAACTTATGTGGCTTTAAGTTTTATTAAGAGTATTTCGTGAAATTTTTCCGTTTGACCCCTTGAAAAATTCGTCAAATTATAAACATCTGCACTATCGGTTTTTGAAACTCAGCTTGACATTGTTTTGGTATTTCCGACTTTTCTCATTCAATATACAAGCTTTTTATAAAATTCCTGTTCCTGATTTTTATTAACTCATTATGGCACAACTTTCATTTTTGGTGTTTAGCCAGAAAACATTGTTTTCATTTACGTTTTTGAAGTTGAAAGTTGGACAGAAACCTGTCCAGTGTGTTTTCGGAGTTTTGGACATCTTTGATTTTTTCGTGTGTATCTTTCGTTTCCGAACTCGGAATTTCATGAAATATGTCCCGTTTCAACCGTAACACGTTAAACTTTAATTCTGGATATTTTTTATAATTTTTGGACTACTGAAACTAATTTATTTTGAATTTTGAAAGTGGCCTTGGAATCTGTCCATAATTTATTTACATGAGTTTTAAATTTTTATGGTGAATATGTTATAAAAATTGCATTATTATTACTAAAATTACATTTTAATATGTTTTAATTCGTGTTTTTACTGATCATATGGATTTTAGCATGACAAGTGTTTTTTTACGAATTTTGAGATTTCGTACAAGTAACGAGGTATGTTTTGCGTTGAAAACTTATGTTTGAAAATTTGTTTGCAAAATGTGATTTGGATTTGAGTATGGTTTTAGGGTTAAGACCATAGTGGCTCCCGAAATGTGATTTGATAAATTTGAGATTTATTTTGGGATAAGTCCCTAGTGGCACCCTTATACTGGATTTGATTTTTATTTTGGCTAAGTGTTGTGTGTTGTTCTGGATATTGTTGGACTACGGTTTCTCCGACAACTGGAAAGCAACCCCTCACAATAGGCATTGGACTGCGGTTTTTCCTTTGTAATTGTGAGTGTGGAGCCCTTATTATGTGTTTGTTCTCATTAGGCAGGGGACTGCAGTTTTTCCTCTGTAAATGAGTTCATTTATTTGTCGTTCCCATTAGGCGAGTGGACTGCGGTTTTTCCCTCGTAAATGGGAGAGTTGGCCAATCTTAGACATTTGTGATATTGATTTATTTGGGTAAGACCATAGTGGCACCATGGGCCGAGGGGACTGCGGTTTTTCCACTAGCGTCTGTTCCAGCGTAATATATTGACATGAAGCTTTGATATTATGGTTTTATTTTGGTTTAAGTTAAAATTTCGAAATTTAATTATTTTGTATGTGTTTAACTTTTTTTTAATATTTAATAAATTTTTAAGTTATTATTTTATATTTTTAATTGTCTTTTTTAAATGATTTATTCTTGCATTACTCTTTTATTTATTCATGCGTTTTTTCAAAGTTTTAAATTACTTCATTTCCATGTGGATTTTCGGATTCATGATTTAATATTTAAACCATGTATGTCATATTTAATTTTAAGTTTGGAGCGTGGATATGTGTGTTACTTGTCACTCAGTGGCAATTTTTTTTCAGATGGTGATGATGTTTTGGGCTACCGTATGGGGATCAAGAGAGAGAATTATCATTCTGCTGTAGTAGTTTTATTAGACTTGATGGATATTTATTTTTACTTTGAGGATTAAATTTTGAACATAATATTATCTATTTAAGTTTTAATAATAATAATAAATTAAGACTTAAGGATTTATGATTTATGTTAGTTAGTAATGACTTAGTTAATATAATTATTCCGCAATTATATGAGTATAAAATACTAGGTTAAATTAAAAATAGAAGCTACATCTATTACATAATTTTCATCATCCTCCATAGGTGGAGGGCCTTGAATTTCTTATTCGGTTGTAGCTTGCGCACGTGCTACTTCTTTCGATGTGGTAGTGGAATTCAAAACACTCAGATGCAAGAGGACTTCTCCCATTGGATCTGACATTATCTTGACTTTGTCTTTAGCAAAGAGCTTCATGACTTCCATGGCCTTACTTTGTACCTTCTCCATGGCCACATTTTCTGGTTTGAAACTTAAACACTTTGTCAGCACTTTGGTTGACGCTTGTGTAATATCCCCACTATTTATCAGTACAAGTATATATTTTAGTTCCGATATTATTTTCGGAATTAATTATTTCAGTTATTTCAGTCGAAATTACCGGAAACTACTTTCGACGTACCGCTTACGTTCGGAATAATTTGGTAATTAAGCATTATGTTTAATTGGATAATTAAACATAATTAAGTGATTAATTTACATTAATCACGAGATGAGCATTAGTGTTCGTTTTTTTTTTTTCAAACCATTCAAATGCCGTGCATGGAGCCCAAGTCATGCTAGGAAAGCCGTGCATCTCCTTTGTCCTTATGTTAGTGTTTGTCCAAGATTCCTCCCAACATTTTCCCATGAATGCCGTGCCCATATCATGAGTTTTGTCTAAGCATCTCCTCTTCTTTTGTTGGCTTATTGGCGTGGGTTATGAGGCAAGACTTGCATGCCACTTTGGCTTTTAGTGTGTGGCATCTTCTAGCATGCAAGACAAGTGTCATGAGCCATTGACCATATGTTCCTCCCTAAACTTTTCATTCGGCCTTCTATAAGAGAGTGTTGGAGAATTTTTCCAACTTCTTTCCTCGCCCAATTTCTTAAGTGCCGAGAGAGTTAGAGAGTCATAGTGAGATTTTGTGAGTGTTGTGCGTTAGCTTCCGCCGAGAGCCATCGCACGTCCGAGCTCTCGCACATAAGCAGCAGCAGTCCGCCGCACCGTACGTAACACACGCACGCGAAGGGTCACGGCCGAGAGCACGGGAGTTCGAGAAGTTTAGTCCCTAGGGCTTATCAAGAGGTAACTCC